TGCTGCTGGCGGCCGCTTGATCAAGCGCCACACTACGTTGTCTCTAAGCGCTTCGAGATCTTCACGCATGGCTGTGGTGGAGTGGGCTCTCAAACTGTATGATGAGATCCGAAACCACTCACTGTGCTGGACTGCCGACTGCCTGAGGGGGTACCCCGATGCCGCGTAAAGACCTTCTCTCACCTTGTAAACCCGTCGGCTAGCGATTGCACTCTTCAAAAGACTTGGGTGAAGTTGTAGACGTCTGCAATGAAAGAGGTATACCTGGGGGGCCTCGAGTGGGTATGCTTCACTCGGTGGGACGGTAGGTGGCCACTCAATCAAACTTGTCGAGAGTGAGCTTAGAGCCAAATTCTATAGGTAGCTTGTCGTCCCTGTCCTTTTCCTTATTGTTTTAGGGGTATTAACCACCTGACCTTTACTTTGCTCCCGGACCGTGAGGTAAGGGAGACCGCTTCCGATAGCGGGTCTGGGGGGGTGTTGATACTCGAACGAGCTCAAAGGCCAAATATATTCTGGATTCCTAATCGCATTTGAACTTAGCCACGCAATTGTTTTCATCGGGGGGCCAATATGTATCCCTTCCCGGGACAGGTGGGTCGCTTATGGCAAGTTCTTTTAGAACGACGGAGTCGTGCCACGTAGATCGCAAATTGATTAGTATTTATTATAGTCCTATCCTTTTAATTTCTCTACTCTATCCTTGCCTGAAGCCCTGATTCCTTGTGCCCACTGGTATGATCCTTATGTTGACTGGTTAGGAGTGGCTGAACATCGAGAAACCTAGGTCTATCGATTAGGGACCGGGTCAACCAATGAGGGACCGGATCTACCAATGAGAGACCGGGCCTTCCAAAGGGGTCCATAATCAACTCCCTTCGGGGAACCAGTAAACCAGTATTCTGAAAACTGACTTCTCCTGCAAATTGTTCTCCGCCAATACTCGCTTCCCCTCGAGTCCCCTGTCTCTCTGGTCTCTTCTCCCAGATACACGGACCTTTATACTCCGAATCCAAGTGGCTTCTGGGATCTCCATAGCACTTCACCACATGGCTTTATACCAGCCTTCGCGTATGCTACTGCGTATTGCTTTCGTATAAAATTATGGATCGCGCTCGAGACACTGCACTGACGCCACGTGCTAGCCTCTATCGAACTTCGGATGCCTGCGCGTGCTCCGTCGCGCTTCATGTTCTGTGTGCTGCAAGCGTCCATGACTTCGGCTACTTCTTTCCGCAATCGGACTGTCAAAGTCGGAACTGCGTATGCTGGCGTCATACTTGCCGTCCCCCACTGTCACAGGTGCTTAATTTTCGTAGTCGAGCGTGATCTGTAGCTGTATGTTCTGCGCATCGCTGATCGTCTCAATGCCCTTCACGTGCTGTGTGACCATGTCCTTGTGTTTTTTCGGAAAGAACACTATGTAAATTTTGTTTAAATCGCTGTGTCCGATGATGACGCCGACTTGCGATCGCTTTGCCATTCAAATTCTTGTGCAGGTCGCGGTTGACGAAGCAGAGAGGGCCGAAGCTACGAGTGTCTTGCAAGTCAGGCGCGTGCTTTGTCAGCACCTCTAGTGGTGACGCGCTTCGTTCATGAACTTGTTGGGCTGAGTAATGGGCCACATTTCATATGTAACATTAATAGGAATAAACAGTTACATTTGAAGGCAAATGTTGTGCCCGAATAGCGGGCACAGCGTGGTAAGTTATTTGTGGCTTATGATTGGGTTTTAAAGACGCAATAAGGACCAATGATAAATTAATCTGAAAGTGTGTGGTTCCCAAAAGGCGGAAACACTTTCGTAATTGTTACAACTTAAAATTTTTTGTAGTTAGTACGATTAAAACAAAAATGTAGTATCGAATTTAAATGTACTAAATACCTGTTACTTAGGCTTGAGTCTTCCTCGAGCGCACGTGTGAGCTAGTGAAGGTACGTTCTAGCCTTGTTACTTTTCCTGTCAACACTATCTTCAACGTCACTATAACGAGACCACGTCTAATTTCCTATAGCGTCCGTCTATTCCACCCATTGCCATCTGATGGTACGACGTGGCGATCTCGCCGCCTCGTCTTATCTGGGAAAGTTTCCACTCCATTATCCAATCAAATGGTGTCGTATCTTACGTGTAACACAATACAGAGCTCTCTTTGATAAGTTCTGGATACGGAAGACGACAATACTCATAAAGTAGCAGGTTATAACTTATCGGGCTTTGTGTATTGTACATAAGAGAAACAAAATAATATAAAGCAAACCTGAGCAACCAAATCACTCCCCCTTGAACAAGAACGAGATTCTGAAAGCGGTAAGTGAGGCACAGAAGGAGGGTGAAAATAGTGAAGATGTGGCCACAATCGCAGACAAGTTCACCAGAATTAAAAAGGTTAACCTACCTGTTCCCTGCCTGATATAATCCAGAAAGGTCACCAAGCTGCTTATGGAGCCCTCCCACGACCAATAACTTGATATTCGCAACGCACTCACACCCAAGCTACCCTTGACGTGTGGTTTAAGTAGCTTTTCTCTTCTAAATTACAAGCAAAATACTACTTTTATAAAATTATATTGTCTTGGCTGATTATAACTTATAGCTTATTAATTAGCAACCATGGGACGAGCTCGGTGAATGCAACATTTAATAACCTACTGGAGATTATAACTTATCGAGAGATAACTTATTAGAGGGAAGTTTGTAACATGAAAAACCTTGCCAACCTGTCAGATACGGTAGTTTCTAACTAATACAACAATCATCACTACTTCAAAACGAATATAAAGGATTCGAGTTTACAGAGCGAAAACAAGTGCATCACTAATTATGGCTACCAACAACGTCGATGTGTTGATGTGCACACAAAGCTTTGAGGAAATCATCGACGACGAATGGTCATTATCAAAGCTCTAGTTTTGGGGTTAACCAAGCCCAACATCAGCCTTTTTGTCATATCAACGTTACCCACACTAGATGTGCACGAGCACCACTCCTGCAGCGACTTGGCTTCTCAATATAGACGATTTGGGCAGGGCTCATACATACATCACAATTTCGCTGCAAAGTAAGATGAAACAACAATCCATTTTGAAATCAGATCTGTCGACAGACTCAGTTCTTGACGTCCGGCCACTTAGCAAGATTATTCACCATTCACCAACAACAATAGCTAGGTAGGGCAGAGAATGGTAAAAGCATTTATGACCTTAACGCAAATGAGCTGCTAGTTCGGAGCCCACGGGCCAGCTTCAAACCAGCGAAGGAGGGCAATATTATATAGCAAAAGTCATCGAGCTCAAGACCAAATTTGTAGAACAACGAGTGTCCCCACGCGAAAAACAGTAACAACTTGGGAACGACAAAAAGTACCTTTGTAAGGAAGCTCCACAGCCGCGAGAGAAGGTAAAGTTACAGTTTTAAGGTTGAAAACGTACGTCTTGTTAAGCATCACAAAGCCAGAAGATGGAGACTGAGCAAAATGAAGCTCAACAAAGCCAGAGTTCTCGGAATCACGCAGGAAGAAATGAGCTTTTTTAAAAAGAGCCTATAGAATACTATTAAGAGCGAAAGCAGCCCTGAAGACTCACGAAGTAGTAAAAGTTGAGTTGCAGCAAAAGCTTGAGCATGAACATGACGTCAATTAAGCCGAAATCATGCCACTGTGGCTGCAGCTCTGCGTGAACTGTTTGAAAAATCCGACCAGTAGTGACGTTTAATGGAAGTCACGCAGATGGAATGCAAAAGACTTGACAAAACTACAGCGACATCTTTGCTATTCAAACAGCAAAGCAAACTATCAACCGTCAATGTGGGAGCAGCCTGAAAGACGTCAAGGACAACCGCACACGAGAATTCGGACAAGTTGTGATTAAGCTGCTCGTAACCCTTACTATGTCTCCTGTTAGCTACGGTGGCGTTCCGTTCCGACTACTGCTTGACAATGGTGTCTCGGTACAATTTTCATCTGCTAAGAAGTAGGTAGTCCTAGTCTTAATGACTGCTTGCAAAAGCGGTCCGCCAACCTATTTTGCGACCACCAAAGCGGTGTGTACGTCGCGAGGAAGCCGCCTGTCGTAGTTTCCTCTTTTTAACGTCCGCCGTCGGACTTGGAGTGCGATCGTCAAAGCGATGACGTATACCACCAGCCGTAGTAGCTTTCCCGGGTAAGCCGACCGCACGCTCAGTGGTTGCGCGAGATGCATGCTCGAGACAGTACCCCACCAACTTCGGCTACCAATTTTTAGTGAAAGGGAGGTGCGCGTGATGAGGACTGAGGCTTCGGCTGACTGGAGATTGACTACAAAAGTTTGCGAAATGATGCAGATGATCGTGTAAATTAGCTGGAGATCAAAGTTAATGTGCTTTTGCGCTGCGAATTGCAACGAAATCACAAATGTGCTGATCTCTACCAAAAGCACAACAGAAGATACCTCGCGACATTTCAAAATGAGCTACTTCCGGCCTTACTACGGCAAGCACATTATGTAGAATTTGATAACACCTCCGACATTCAAAAGCTGCGTGCATCCAACTAAAAGACTCAATGAAGCTTGATTGAACCCGAAGGAGCCAAAACAAAAAAGTGGCGAGAGACAAGGAAGTGGGGAGCTCCAGCTCATGCAGCAAGCAGCAAGCAGCAGATATTGCAGGCAAATAGCTCATGGCTGTTGATGCTAAAACATAGTCTTTGAGACGCCATTTACCGTCTTAAACAACATTACATACAAAGTGCTACTTAAAAAGCTTTGGTCTATACTTAGCCACATCTCTCAAACCTTTAAAGCCATCAACGTACCAAGGGTCGCTTCTTTCTTACTTCATTCCTACTCTGATGAAAAAAAACCTTGAATGAGGTTAAATCCACATCTACTTGATTTTAGTAATCTCCATACAAAACCTTATATATATTTTTAATCTGAGGCTACGAAGCGACAGTTCAGATCTTGCAACGTTTCAAGCTTCCAGTGATCGTAATTAATCGAGAAGAAAAAGACTTGGAAGAATGATGCACTCGACGCAGATACAGCAGACGCTAGTAAAGAAGGTACTAGCTCACTCTTGTACCACACGTGGCTTTGCAATACGTAGTTCCAAGCCATTATCTGGTGTTGATACGGCAGCACTTACATCCAAATACACAGTAGTCGATCATGAATACGATGCTGTCGTCGTTGGTGCTGGTGGTGCTGGTCTACGTGCAGCCATGGGTTGCGCTGAAGCAGGACTAAAGACGGCGTGTATTTCGAAGCTTTTTCCTACACGTTCGCATACTGTTGCAGCTCAAGGAGGTATTAATGCAGCACTAGGGAACATGTCTATCGATGATTGGCGATGGCATATGTATGATACTGTCAAGGGAAGTGATTGGCTGGGAGATCAAGATGCTATTCATTATATGTGTCGAGAGGTACGCTGGTTGCAAATGATTGTGTCTAGTTGATGTAACAGTGATGTAAACTAGAGGTTTTCTTGTTTTTGTATGTTTACGGTAGGCCCCTGAAGCCGTGCGTGAACTTGAAGATTTTGGGCTACCTTTCTCTCGTACGGAAGAAGGCAAGATTTATCAACGTCCATTTGGTGGACAGAGTCTCGAGTTTGGAAAAGGTGGTCAAGCACGTCGTACTGCCTGTGCTGCTGATCGTACGGGTCATGCAATGCTGCATACACTCTATGGTCGTTCTTTGGCCTTTGATACGTCGTATTTTATTGAATACTTTGCTCTGGATCTCATAATGAATGACGCGGGAGAGTGTGTGGGTGTTATGGCCTTTAATATGGAAGACGGAACATTCCATCGCTTTCATACAAACAATACGGTACTAGCCACGGGTGGCTACGGACGTGCCTATTTCTCGTGCACGTCGGCACACACGTGTACAGGTGACGGCACTGCCATGGCTTTACGTGCTGGCATCCCACTACAAGACCCTGAATTTGTGCAGTTCCACCCCACAGGAATCTATGGTGCTGGCTGTTTGATTACGGAGGGATCACGCGGTGAAGGAGGTATTTTACGGAACTCGGAGGGCGAGCGCTTTATGGAACGTTATGCCCCTACGGCTAAGGATTTGGCTTCGCGTGATGTCGTGTCACGTGCCATGACCATGGAGATCCGTGAGGGTCGTGGTGTGGGCAAGAATCAGGACCACATCTTTTTGCATTTGGACCACCTGCCACCTGAGCTTCTGCACGAACGTCTGCCGGGTATATCGGAGACTGCTGCTATTTTTGCTGGTGTGGACGTGACTAAGGAGCCCATCCCGGTACTTCCTACTGTGCACTACAACATGGGTGGTATCGCTACGAACTACTTGGGTGAGGTCGTTATGCCTGACGTTGACGGTTTGCCGGAGCCCGGTAAGCTGTACCCGGACAAGGTTGTGCCCGGTCTGTTTGCAGCTGGTGAGGCAGCTTGTGCGTCGGTGCACGGCGCTAACCGTTTGGGTGCCAACTCACTGTTGGATCTAGTGGTGTTTGGGCGTGCCTGCGCTCATCGCATTGCTGAACTGACAAAACCTGGCGAGGCAAAGCGCCCGATGCCCAAGGACGGCGGGCTGAAGGCCATTGAAGATGTTGACAGGCTGCGTTACGCCGACGGAAGTATCTCCACGGCCGAGCTGCGCCTGGAAATGCAGAAGACGATGCAGGAAGACGCGGCCGTATACCGCACGCAAGATTCGCTGGCCGCTGGCAAGGAGAAGATTGACGCAGTAGTGCCTAAGTTCAACGATATCAAGGTGACGGATCGCTCGCTTATTTGGAACACGGACCTGATGGAGACGCTGGAGCTACGCAACCTGCTGGCGTGCGCAGCGTGCACCATGCACGGCGCTGAGGCCCGTAAGGAATCTCGTGGTGCCCATGCTCACGAGGACTATACGGAGCGTGACGACGCCAACTGGATGATGCACACTGTCGCCTACCACAATGAAGATGGCAAGACGCACATCGCTTACCGTGCGGTGCAAGACCAGACGCTGGACGAGAACGAGTGCAAGCATGTCCCGCCCTTCGCGCGTGTCTACTAAGGTTTTGTCTGGATGGAATATGGGACGGACATATTACATCACACACGCAATGTTTATGCAGAAGCTCTGCATAAACTAGTGACGAAACGAAAAAAATAAAATCTACACAATTATCTCGGGCTGTGCAGTACGTGGGTAGACGTTTGAATTGAATGCGCTTCAATTGGCGCGGCAGCGTTTACAAAATCTGCGTTAGGGCGTGGTTTTCAAAGTCTAGCCCCCGTCTTGCCGTTCGTTGCCACCACATAGCAGCATCCATAAGTTGCATAAGCTCATAAGCCGCCATTACTAGTAAGTGGTCATTCACACTGATGATGAAATAGCGGTTCATGAGCTTGTCTACCTTTCACGCAAGCAACGAGTCCGGAAAGTTGGTATAAAGTTGCCAGTTTGCCGGCGGAAGGCCCACATCGACAGTTAGCTAGCATGTTTTTCAAAGTAATCATCATCGTTGCACAACCACACTGATTGTGACCGCATCTATCGCGACTCCTTTGATACACTTTGCCTTTGCACGGTGCGACATAGACATCGTCATGACCTCTACCAAGTTTTTCCAGCGCATTGATTGTCTTAGCTATTTTGCCGAGTGCGCCTGCATGTGCTTGTCATGCTAAGTAAGCATTTCATAGACAATACGTTTACTGCTGCAGGTATTCCATGACTGCATGGAGTGTGCTCACTCATTTCAGCCCCATACTTCGCGTACAGTCCAAGTATGACACAAACGATCGCGGTGTCCACAGACCAGAGAGAAGTACCGGCTGCTTGCAGTGCTTTGAATCGTTAACATCCTGAACCTCCTTATGTCATGAGATTGAATCTTGACATGTTGCATAGAGGGCTACGTCGTTTGAGCGCACGTATCGACATTTGACACAGATGCTTCTACCATCATCATCACGGTCTCAAATGAACAAGTTCGAAAAAGTCCAGTCACCAAGCTGAGGGTGCCGAAAATGCACAATACTTTCGCCTAAGACCCATGTTCCCCTGCTGCTGTTCCTGATTGTGCTTAGTCAGAGTGAGCAATACAACTTGCAGGATTGACACCTATACTTCCCAGTTATATATGTGGATGCAAAGGTGACGTGTTTATACTCTGCTTCGCGTCTGGAAATACACTCAAAGCATACTTGGTACTCCATCTGTGAAATCAATGGTAACGCAACACAAACTGCGGTGATCTCGCCACCTCGAGCCCAAAGGCTTCGAGGCTCAGCGTGGTTGGTTTAAGGACTGCCTGTGACGCCACTTGGTCAAACCGCAATCACTCGATGACGACGTTCGAAGACTTGATCACCGCTTTAGCAACGTTCGCTGGGGGGATTACACCGAATGTGGTGGGTCATTTGTAAACGTGAGCTATGGAAACACGGGTACCACCACTGCGATTTCGCTTCAATCGCAAAACTTATACGCAAGAGAATATCTCGTGTACGGCCTCTGGACATTGGAACGACGAATCCAGCGAAAATTTGTGGCTCCCGTGTTAGGAAACTCGCACACCGGTTACGAGAAAAGTATCGCGCTCAGCTCGCACACCACCGCTCAGTTTCTCAGATCGCTGGGCTCTGCTGAAACTTCCAGAAGCAGTGAAATCGACATCACACAACTTTCTTCAGGATGCCAATGCGTCAAGTTCTCAGTAGTGCAATGTGCGGATAGCAGGCATCGGTTCGCTATTGACGATTTCACAATCTATCCACTACTGGAACGTGAAAATCGTTATACAACATACTTGATCCAACCTGCAGGCCTTCGGCTGTATATTCTTAAATAAGCACTACATCAAGCTCTGGAACCAGCAAATGGCCAAAAAACATGTTCCCAACGTCGAGACGTCTAGGCAGTTTATGAGTGATACCTATTTGATTGTCACTGCGGCGACTACGATCGCGCTGATGGTACAGCAATGGTAAGCTTGAGAATTAAGGTTTGGGCAAGCATTTGTCTCAATCTATGCTTGAAGTTTGGTAAGCCGCTCGTGGGCACCAGCTTTGTATACCTCTACACGAACCTGTCAAAACAATACCACTTTATCATGTCGCAAGAGTAGCACACTTGTACATAGGATTGCTAAGTATTAGAGACTTCAAATCTCTAGAAAGAGAAGAGAGCTTCCACCCAATTTTACCGCTATCTCAAGTACGGACATTGGTTTGTCGCAGCATGTACCGTTCATATTATAGATTAAGGCTTTACTATACAGAGTTTATTAGTATAGATAGACATGTTTGTGAAATGCCTACGTGCGTGTAAAATAAAGCAGATACTAAGGTTGTGGTCGTAAACACGTCGAGACAAAGATGGATATAGGTGAGGATAGAAGCTGATCGATTTCGATGGGACGATAGTAACTTGGATACAAGACCACTGCGAATTAAAGTTTTTGGTGACGAATAGCTAGAAAGCTAGAAAGCGGTTGCACTGTAGCCCTTGCAAGTCTCAGCAATGCTACTTCACCACCGTAAATGCATTGTGCGCACGCAAACGCACGCCCACTCTTTTGTAAGGCTACGAGAGCAACATATGCGAAATATTCAGCTCCCACGAGCTGTGCCAATGATCTCGTCCCTCAAGGGACAGAGACGCGAATGGTACAGTTTGCAGATTCGAAGATCAATGTGTAACTGTGAATGGGCTGGACCCCAACCATGTGCGTAACGAACGGCGACTGTCGTAGCGTTGAGTCCAAGGCCACCTCAAAGAGAAAAACTGAACCTTCTCGCACTCTTTTACCGATTCTGCTGCATAGAATGCGACTGCAGCATTCGGCCTTGATCGTTTTGTCGGTCAGGGTGAGCCAGACTCGAAAAAGACCCCGACAGCAAAGATGTTCCGCAAACTTGCAGTCTGGACGGTCGTGCTAGTGGCCGTACTCTCTAACGATGCGCTGGCCTTGCACCAGGACAACCCCTTCACGCCGGTCACCAGCGAAGGTCAAATGGACGACTCGTATGCTTCTAAAACCAAGACACCCATGGACACCCCGTCAATCGCTACCACCCCAGCTTCGCTGGCGACTACGGTCATTCCTACGCCCGTCCATGAGGAAAATTTACCGACTACGCCGACCGGCGCAACGCCTTCGGTCCCGACCACGCCTAAAACCCCCACCCCGATCATCCCTGCGGGCACCGAGCCTCTTCCGGTGACGTCGTCATCAACGACTCCTACTGTGGAGAAGGGCTTGCACGTGTCCAACTGCAATCCGAACTTTCCCAGTGAGAAGCCGGAAGAAGCACCTAAGGCCACGCCCGCCGTTGCGCCGATGACTGACGTGAAGCCTCCTACCGCTACGCCGGCAGTAGTGAAGCCTCCTACCCCTACGCCGGCAGTCGTGACACCTGCTACCCCGGTCCAGGCCCACACCACCTCAACGGACGTGGCTGACTCGAAGACGGTCAAAAACAGTGAGGAGACCAGTCAGCAAGCCAACACTCAGTCAGGCAACCAAAGTGGCGAAACTTCGACCGGCATGGGCGCCTTCGCTGTTGTGGGTTTGATCGCCGCTGTTGCTGCGGTTGGCGTCGCTGTGTCGCAAGTAAAGAAGTCTCGCGACGCCGACGCCGATGCCGCTCTGGTTACACCTGGCGAAAACGAGAACATTCATATTGAGGTTAAGAGCACGCCTGCCGGTGGCAGTACGATCCTTTAAGACTTCTCTCGAGATTGCGACGTTAGGTCATTTTGAGGAGTATGAGGTTTGTTCGTTTATAGCTAGCCCTAGTGAATAAGGGTAGCTTCCGTCTCATATTGTTTTCTCTTAATCTCAATCAACGAGTTTATTCCACGAATTATTGAGGCGTAATAGACAGCATTTCAATCCTTGTCTATGCTAGCCCTAGTGAATAAAGTTAGCTTTCGTCTCACATTGTATTCTTCCAACCTCAATCGACGAGTTTATTCCTGAGGCATCATCGACAGCATTTCAATCACATCAACGTTCCGATCGCGACTGACTTTCTGGCTTCATGCAAGGACTATCCAATGAGTAAAGGATGACTAACGTTTTCGACAACCTCAACTGTGGATCCAAGTGCTTCGAGGACGGCCATTTTCCAAGACTACAATGATTTAGACAATTGTACGATTCATCCATGTAGATACATGTTCTGCCTAAGATGTCATATTTTGCGGTCAATAATGGCCACAGCCACTGGGTTGAACCAGCTGCGGACACAGTGCCTTCTATCTGGGCGCGAGTCACCCCGTAGATTGGTTAGGATTAGACTTTACGATTGTGGAAGCGTTCAGTGTCCTTGCCTCAACCCAGCACTTGCCAGTTTGCTGCTCGTTTTGTTTGAACAGCGTAACAGCGTATCCTACGTGATGTTAGTTCTATCACTTGAGATCATGCTGCGTTTCTTTCGTGCAGCTGTGACGACTTCAATTCTAGTAGCGGTGGTTGCCACCAAACTTGTCCAAGCTGATACTTTGTGTTCGTTGCCACCATTGACCTACACGAAAGCTAAGATCGCATACCCGGCGTCAGCCTTCGCTATCGAAGCGCTGGAAAGATATGAGGTTGCGACGTGGTACTCGAATCACACGGAGAACGGAGACTATGCTAAGACAGCTGCCGATTTAGTGGCGTTCTGCCCTGAAGATACACGGATTAGTATCGTGATTTACGGCTTGCCCAACCAAGATTGCGCTGCCAAGGAGCTGGTGGCAAGTAGCACCGTGGATTCCGCGTCCGATTACGTCGTGTTTCTCAACACGCTCATATCAGCCATCGGCAACAGAAAGGTGCTTTACATTCTCGAGCCGGATGCCATCGGACGGCTTGTAGACACCACCGGATGCGCCGATCACCTGACCCATCTGCAGACTGCCGTCGTCCTGTTATCCCAGAACAAGAACGCCGAAATCTACCTTGATGTGGGCTACTGGACCCTCCAACAATCCGCCACCTCCACTGCTGTGGCAGCAATTGTCAAACAGCTCGCGTCTATAGGATTTAACGTAAAGGGAATTACGCTCAACACTTGCAACTATCAGTCGATCAGCACCTTGGCTACACTCTGCAGCAACTTCCAAGGTGCTGTTGATGCTACCAACCTGCACTGCATCTTCGATACGTCCCGAAGCTATCGTGGTGGGCCGGCGTCGAACGAGTGGTGTAACGTCAAGAGTGCAGGAATCGGTGCTTTGCCAACTAGTAAAACGGGGATCAGCAACGTCGACTACTTCATTTGGGCCAAGCCGCCTGGGAAGAGTGATGGCACGTGTGACGGCCGTACGCCGGACTCGATGCATGGTCCTAAAGCTGGCATCTTCTTTGATGAAATGTTCCAGTCTCTTTGGAACCAAGGCATTATGGTTGCCGAAAAGGGATATGCCACCATTGACGGTACGGTGCGTAGCCCCCCTGAAGGAACACCACAGTCACAAAAAAGAGATGGGTCACGAGGCTGACAAACACTTGCACACAAGTCTGTTGCCCAACGCGATCGCAATAGACAGCACACATTCCACCAGCATTTCAACACGACATGTCGATCAATCTCATTATCAGTCAAGTGGATCTCAAACAAACGATCAGAATCAACTAAAAGCTAAAGATTCTTCACCGACCTCTGCCAACAGCGAGCAGATCTCGACAGAGAGGTCAGGTAGCCACAGGATGGGGACGTTTGGCGTGGTCGTCGTAATTGTACTTGCTGCGGTTGTCCTTTTGGGCGTGATTGTAGGTGTCTGCCATCACCACAAGAAAGTGCTGAATGAAGCCAAGACCCCTGCGGCCCCACTTCCTACAAGAATTGTAAACTTTCTACCTCGTTCGGCTGCACTTGTACAAGGCTCCAACATCGTCTAGATGCATGTAGAGCTTCGTAGTAGAAATAGACAATATGATGATAATTTATACGTGAAGGAGTGCTAACTTAACGGAACGTATAGTACGCACCTTCATTGCCGGAACCTCATCATGCAACTAGACAAAGAAAATGTGCCGATTTCGTCAACGTACCATGCATGCCAGTACGATCACTACATTCCACAGGTGCAAGAACTAAAGCTCCGTCTATCTGTGAAGCACCCAGACTTCGGTCCCAACCAAGTGCGCTCCAAATTCTTTAGCGCCGCCATCAGCTCCATTGACTTGGTGAGGTAAGCGCTTCAAGTGGTCGACCAGATCTACGCCATCACGTCCGGCGGCACTATGGTCGACTTTGCAATCCTTCGACGATAATCTAGCTATCAGCTCTTACGCAACGCACCACGCTGCAAAAAGATGAGAAGGTGCTCAGTCCAAGTGGCAGTAGTGCTGTCGATATCTCACTATCCAGTACTCACAGATTGGACTTGGTGCGGTCGCTTAAAGAATACAGGTATGAGCTTATCTACCTAACTTGACCTACGTACACAGAATGCATCGATTACAGCAAGTGCAAATACTTCTTGGCCTTGCAGCCGCTACGTGTTTGGTTAGCGTTGGGCTGTTGCGTGGTGCTTTCATTCGAGACGGTGGTAGTGGCCGGCGCTGTTGTAACAAACGGCGTGCTGACGACGTCCTCTGTCGAAATCGGATCAGCCGTAGAAATAGTGGTGTCATCCTGGCCCCTGCTTGAGTTTCCAGAAGTAGGGACAAGAATTGGCGTCAAAGTGGTCTGGTCTGAGGCATCTTCGTTTGAGCTGCTCTCATTTGAGCTAGTAGGTGCTTGAGTGGCAGGATTAAAGCTATCGTCAATCTTCAGCATACCCTGTTCGCTCACAAAGTATCCTTGGTTCCATAACAGCTTGAAGCCTTCCAAGTACATCGATCCTGCCGGAGTACCACCGGTAACGCACTCGCCGTCACTCTCTCCAGGCGGTTTGATCCACATGAAGTAGTCGAGATTTAAGACGGCAGTCTTCGACGAAGGTGGCTTGCCAATACCAGCCGTGCGGACATTGCACCATTCGGAGGTGGGTGAGCCGTTATAATTGCGGGAGGTGTCAACGATACAGGTCATATTCGTTGACCCCATGGCCGTCTGGAAGTTGGTGCAGTAAGTAGCGCATTCGTCCGTGGAGCGGTAATTGGACGTATTGATAGCCACACCCTTCACTCGACCAGAGCCACGGATATCCTTCATGACAGCGGCCACCTTGTTCGCACTATTAGCGTTTACCAGCATCCAATAGCCAATGTCGACGTACAATTCAGCGTTTGAATTGACAGACAAAGCTGCGACGGAAACCTTGAGGCTCTTAAGATATTCTGCGGCTGCGCCGCAACTTCCATCTTGAGTTAGGAGACCCAGTGCGTCTGGCTCCACCACGTAGAGGACTTTGCGGTCTCCAACGGCATCCGTGAGCTCTTTTAGAAATGCTTTGTAGCTGCTCGTGTTGGTCACACTTCCTCCCGACGACAAGCCAGCAGCACAATCTTTGTTAGGAATACCATACACTACGATACTGAGGCGCGTGTCCTCCGAACATTGGCTCAGCAAGCCAGACAGCAATTTCGATCGCTCTTGTGTTGTTTGACGATCCGTAAACCATGAGGCAATGGCATAGTTTTCCAACGTCTCAATGGCAGTCGTCAGCTCTGGATAATCCGACTTGGCTCCCGTGTACGAGTACGGTGTGATGGAGCAGAGATTCTCGGCGGATGCCAACACCAGTGTCACACAGGACACAGCAGCAATCAATAGGCGAGATCGGAGCATCGTGTTGCAGGCTCACGTGATGCTTGAAAGGTACTATGTGGTTTGTGGCTTAATGCGAAATGACTCAATGTTGACAAACCATCCCGAGCACTTAATGGCTAAACGAGACGACAAGCCGAACCGTTCACTGCACAAGAGGCTCGCGACATGGATGATCGTTTCTTGAGAAAAAGTGTCAAGTACAGATCTTTGTTATCTGAAGAACTACATGACTATCTTACAACAAGAGGCATGCCTGTTCTAGCTGAGACTTTTGATCAGACACGAAAACGATAACCGTCTTACACAAAATTCTGATTTGACGTTGATTGTAACAGCTTTTGGGCCAGTCGACGCTATTGGATAGACACCACAAAACCGTCAATGCTTTTGGCTCCACGCGGGACTAAACAGCTGGTCCTGAGGCGCCTTCTGCTTTAAGATGTGGGGCCTTTGCTTTGTTTGTATTGGTATAGTACACGCTGTTCCGGTCTTCGTCCACAGACCTCGACTTTAATGCTCATGTAGGACGGCGATGGGGCAAAACATATGTCATGTAGTGCGTTGCTCGATGCTCTACATGTTTTATCGGTGCTCTTTAGACGGCAGCCGCCAAAATCACAGAAGCCATCATTTCGTTGACAGCTTTACAGATGGGCAAAAATGCAAAAAATAGCTCGTTAACACGACGGCAAATTCGATTGCTGCTGATCTCCGTACTTGCAATCTCTTCTTGAGTGGCTGACCTGTCGCTTCATTTGGGCAAGAACTCACAAGGCGAAGCTGTCGTAACTGACTGCTCGTAACGTGAGCAATGTTAAATGAAATGTGTCTTTATTGACACGACTTCCTTGAAAACGACTATTTTAACCTTACAAGATAGAATTAAACTACGTCATTCTACAGTTGGCCTTCAGGTTTCGAGTGATCCTGCATCACATGGTTGCAACTTTGATGTGGTATCGATGGGGGTTGTGTTCTTACTTAAATGCGAGCGGGAAGTTCCATCAGAGAGACATTCGCACTGCAATCGTTTATGATGAATAGAAAGTTAGTATAAGCCATCCAAATGTTATAAATGCTTTGAGCCGCTCGAGAAAGATAAGCTGGGTCATCCGCTGGCATTTTCGGCTGAGATTGACCTTGGTCGTCACCTTGATCAGCTCAGAAAAACTTTGTGGATGCCTAAGATAGCCAACTGGGCCACTTCCGTGTTGTGCTCCTTTTCGAACTAAGATCCGAAGCTCCTTTTGCGTGACTATACGATTGTCACTTTGTACTGAGACAAAGCAATGCGGACCTTGTCCGTCAATGATGTGTGCTGCAAACACCGCGCTGGGCATGTTTTGGGGTGTAATTTTTGCTGTGGTTTTGTGTGTCAGTTAAAGGTTTATTTAGCGGAGCTTCACAGGTCCTAAGTCAGAGAAAGACTTTTTAAGCTGAATTTTTCCGAGCTGTATCGAGCTAATTAAAGTTACGGCTAAACGTACTTAATTTTATAGAACTAATTAAACGATTTCAAAGTCTACCCGTTCTACGGAGCTAGGAGGAAATTCTAGTCTACAAGCAATAGCTTAAGGTTCAGAAAACCAACGCACAGAGTGCAAGAACAAGCTAGAAGCTTAAAGATATTGGAAACCAACGCACGAAGTGCACAAGAGAACAAGTCAGAGAGACTTGCGATTTTTAGCTCGAAAAATAGAACTGATTTTATATTGGATTAAAATTTTGTGAATAGTTCTACGCTAAGTACCCTACACTAGATTAATTACAATTACAATAATTATTATATGCCATCGTCTTTATCTGGATAAGGAATCATCCAATCAATAGTGTATGTTGTACTTAGTACTACTGTATCGATTATGACACTAATATTGGTAGTATAAGGTATAAGTGATATCTTATAATATCACACATCTACAGTATAATGCCCCTATATAAAAGGATCGGTATTAAAAATACATTATTTACACGATATGCAATATAGAACTTCAACCGTAATATGATGTTTCAACCGTCGTAAATCCTGTAGCAGTTTGAGTGGTGGTGTGGCCGGTGTGCGGATTTGGCTTAGCTGCCATCTTCCGTTAGCTCATAAAACCCTTTGGTCTCAAGGATAAAATTTAGTCAATTTCTACTGTTATAATATTTAAAGTACATATTTTAATCATAAACGCCGTTTTAGTGTGGGATATTATATATAGTAAATGTAATACTAATCATTATCGTTACTGGTTCGATAACTGATAGGGTGGTACTAATAGGTACAACACACTGATGATTAGATGACTATAAATTGCTATCATAGTAAATATAAAAGTAGTTTATATTATTTACTTTTATAGTAAATAAAAATAGTAGCTAATATAGTGAAGGGTACTTATAGTAAATTTATTCTGAAACTTTAGTGCATATATTAGAACATTTTTGCAATTTGAGTTATATAGTCAAAGCCTTTAGAGGCTTGTTCTCTTGTGCACTTGTGCGCATGTGCGCTTGGTTTTCCCTCCATAAGCTTCTTTTAAAGCGTAAGCTTGTTGGCTGTAAAATGTTCATCCAGTTCCGTAGAATGGGTAGACTTTTTAGTCTCATGATTTGTTCGTTAGATCATAGTGTATACAAGTCGTCAACTTTGATTTAGTTCTATATGACAGAGGGCAAAGCCTATAAAGTTTTCTGACTTAATAGCTGTGTAGCTCCGCTACACTTCGTAATACTAGTAGTCAATTCTACACCTAAGTCTCTAAGATTGACCCTCTATGAAGATGGAGAGTCGTAATGACCTCTCTGACACGCAAAGATTCGCGCTAGATAAATTGTCGGCGTTATTTGGGCCGATCAAATCGATCCAAGATGGCCTAAGGCCCAGAAGTGCTTACGGCACGCTTTGAGGCATTAATGCTTTCTGAGACAAAGTTGATCGGACAGGCGTATGACCATGAAGCGTTTGGCAACGCGCTACATCCCGGTGAACGCAATGATCGAAAGGCACTCCCGCTTGTACTAATCGCTAAGACTTTTGAGCGAAAGAGGAGGAACATCATCTTTTTCTGGATTTGAGAAGTTTAAATGGCGATGAGTGCCGCTATGCTCAATTCTGATCAAGAACGAGGTGGTATGGTCATTTTCAAATTCGGTGTCGGGGCCAAAGAGTAAGCATTAGAATGCGATGCGTCTGTAGACGCCGCGTTTCTCACATATATTCTTGTAAAGAGCAGATGTCTCGTGTGTTCGCACCGCCTATCTAGCCTTACCGCGCCCGATCACACTACTTACCATCCCGGCATTTATCGAGTTATTGGACTATGTTAAGTGCTGAAAATTCTCCTTCCTGCTATGCAATTAAATTCTTGTACAAAAGAAGTCCAGGGACGATTTTCATGGAAGGACTTCGCACTGGTTTTGCTAGCACAAAAGTAATTTTGTCCACGCTTTGACATTCAAGGAGGCATTCAATGTAACAGGGCATCTAGTTACACGCAAACATAAAGTAATATACTTAATGTTCGGTCTAAAAGTATCCATGATACTTTTGACCTGTCACTTGGGTGCGATACACAAATGTGATCCACCCTCGTGAATGTGATATCCATTTATGGATTCACATGGGAAGGGATGACGCTAGCTAAGCTAGGCATCGCGACGTCTCAGAAAGACGTCAGTTGCGATCTTAAATCTAGATTTAAGTTCATGCGACAGGATACGCTTCTAAAGAGTCGCGTATCCGATCTATATATATATATATACATACATATATATATAGCCAATCAGTAGTTAAGTATATATTTAGTTATAATTCATTAAATATATCTCAGTCTTGAATTTGCTTAAACATACGCACCACGCACGAGAAGTTGAAAGACTTCTGCGTGACGTCGGTGCCTTCTTGTTAAGAAGTTCGTTGCACTCTCGCTTAAGCGAGAGGCAACTGGTGGTACGACTGCTTAAGCAGTCGACCAACCTCCCAACGACCCTCGCACGCGACGGTAAGACGGTATAACCGCTTCCTCGCTTGTGCATAAGGTGTGTGCTCGTAGTACGAGGCAACTTCATAGAAGTGCCCGTCTACACTTGGTAGAACTTGTAGTCCTTCCCACGACCCGTCTCTCTGAGCGTGCGTGTGGTTAAGATGGTCCTTAATATGGACTGAAGTGACTTCCCTCACCTCTCCCAACATCATAGGGAGTTGGCAGAGCATATGGCGCAGGGACTTGGTGAACAAGCCCTGGTCAACCTCTTGCATTAGCCTCCTGAGCAACATGCTGCTAAGTTGGAGCAATTTGAGGCGTTTATGCTCGGACAGCGTAGAAACGCGTCCGAGGTAAACAGCCAATTTACGGATGAGTCCATCACTAAGACTCAGGATGAGCTTAGGCTTGAGCAGGCACGGAATGAGGCGCTCAACAGAACTGTTGAGACGCTCTCTGCCCGGTCTAATCAACCGAGGCCCATTCGGATGGACCCTCCGAAGTTCGATGGAACTACCCCACATACGATTGTTCATTAGCTATTGGCAGTTGAGCAAAGTGGAGTGGCGCAGCTCATCGAAGACGACACCAGAATGGTGTCGTATGCCATGTCCAACTTGCGTGGCAAAGCGTCAGAGTGGGCATACTCTAAGCTGATGGGTAATGCTGATGCATTTCCATCTTGGGCGATCTTTAAGGCAAAGATTCGCGCCATGTATCAGCCGCCTAACAACGAAGTGTTGCTTATGGCGCGCTTTTTTTGGAGCACGACAGGCTAAATGCTCTCTGCAAGAATTTGTGCAGGAGATGCGTTCGCTGTCGGCGTCCATTAATGTGGGTCCGATACCTAAACACATTAAGGTGACCACGTTCATTAATGGACTTAGGCACGTCAGGCCCATTTCAGAAAGGTGCAAACGACGATGGAAGAGGCAATTGACATTGCCTTAGTTGAGGAGCAATCCTAAAACAGCGCCTCGGCGACAGCCTATTACAGACCGTCGTCCGAGAAGTCTGATGCCACTCCTATGGAGTTAGGCAATGCAGATG